AGAGAGAGAGAGAGAGAGAGAGAGAGAGAGAGAGAGAGAGAGTCTCTTCCGCCCTGTGTGTGTGTGTGTGTGTGTGTGTGTGTGTGTGTGTGAGAGAGAGCGAGACCTTGACCCTGAAATTCGAATTTGGGGTCTGCATCGTGGAATGCCTTTCAATCGGATAGGTATGATGCCTCGCAGCATTAAGGAAAGCACCGGGTTTCACGACTTGGACGAGCACCCCAAGCAATAGCTACACTTGTTAAGCACGCACCTTCTCTATAAGGTCTAACACATCAATGTTATCCACGAAGTCTATGTCGTCCCAGTTGATCTCTTCCTTCCGATATTCGGCTTGCTCCATCTTGAACACATGCTGCCCTTGTATGCAACCACAACACAAAAATCACCATAAGAACATTAACTGAAGGAAGACCGGCAGGCCACACCAAACCAGTTCCCCAAGTGGGATAACATCCAAAGAAATGGTTCCATCCACCACATGAAACTGACCCCCATCTCAAGGACAGCCTTTTCAAATTGAGCAGAAACAATGCACAGGGTATACCACACACACACAGCTTCAGAATCACCAAAACACAGCAGATGAAGATCAAATGAAGGGACACCACTAGCCTGGGCCAAAACAATTCCCCACTGCATGGGATAATATCCAGCAACGAGTTTGTTGATTCCCAACTCTCGGACAGCATCTGCAAGTCCTCCAACTCTTGGCAGTAGCAGTGTACAAGGAATAACTGCATTTTATTCACAAGCCCTCCACCCGCAAGTCATTCCAAATCAACTGATAAAGAAACGCCAAAGCCTCAACTTGAGAACAACCCCAATTCATGAATCCAAACCGGAGAGTCAAATCGCAAATTCAAAACTGTTAAAAACTATTCCAACTCACCACAGTCTCAGTCTGTGGGCTACTGCTGCAAGAATCACAGGACCCTATCAACCTGAAGACGAACACCACCACAGCACCACCCAGATATCTCCTGCAAGGAATTTCCTCTGAAGTCTGTAGATTTCAGTTAACAATTGGACAATATTCTTTGCAATAGAAAATGGTATTGCAGACGGCAGGTCTATCTCAAGTAGCATGGAATAACTGAACAAGGCATTAGAAAAACAAATCAAATACAACCAGTCTTCCATTCTACACACCGTATTGAAATGCTGCTGTAGCTCTTAGTTTCCCCATGAAGAAAAATAAGTGGGATGCGGTAATCAATCTCCAGCTGAACTCACCGTGTTGAAATGCTGCTGTAGCTTCTCATTTGTTAGATTGATGCAGAACTGTTCAAAGCTGAGATTCCGACCATGAAAATCAAGGGGTGGAAAATCAGCAAGTGTTACCATACATGCAAATTCGAGCACATCCATTACTCTAGAAAACACCTACACAAGCCCCCAGCATTCACTCACATGCACAAGCCCTCCCTAGAGTCGTCAATTTCAACAAATGTACGTGGACAAGATGCCCTATTATCTAGACACACACTTTCATCCTCAACTATTCGGCAAAACCAGGACCAAACATCTCTCCTAGCGACATCTCTCTCTCTCTCTCTCTCTCTCTCTCTCTCTCTCTCTCTCTCTCTCTCTCTCTCTCTCTGCTTACAGCTCTTGATGGATACAGCCAGAAAACATTTCATACCCTCTCAGGTAAGACTAACAGGACAAGGAAAACCATTTTCCTGCAGAAAAGAAGATCTGTAAACCCTGTGCCCAGTTCTCTCTCTCTCTCTCTCTCTCCCCCTCCCCCCAATTCCCTCTCTCTTCCTGCCACTTCCGACCCTTCGGCTGGTGGGTAACGTTGTTTTTTAACTTATGCAGGCCCCATCTCTCTCTCTCTCTCTCTCTCTCTCTCTCTCTCTCTCTCTCTCTCTCTCTCTCTCTCTCTCTCTCTCTCTCTCTCTCTCTCTCTCT